TGGAATGGAAGTCCCCCTGTCCGAGCCGACGGTCCTTCCGCCTTGCTACGGCGGCGTTTGGAGTCACTAGTCAGGACTCCGATTGTGTACGGAAGTGCGCGTCGGGATGTCAACAGGGGGTGCGGTGACGGGCGAAGACCGTCTTTGTGTACGAGAAACGTCTGTTCGGCAGCAGCCTTCGGCTGAAGCTCCCAGTGGCCAGCTGGTCGTATCGATGGACGTCGGCCTGCGTAGTGGACGTCCATCCCAACAGCACCGGAGACAAGGTTGTCAACGCTTCTATGGCCAGTATAAACCCACAAAAAGGATCAGGTCCTCACGGGGCGTGTCCAGACACGAGGACAATAACCTCTGATGGCGACCGGCGCGTGGCGCGTGCAAAGACCCCACGAGGTCCGCATCGTTTCTACTCGATGGAGGAAGGATCGTTCACGGCTGCCGGCTACAGCGACAGGACAACGATGGGATTTCCGACGCGCATGGGGACCCCTGTACACTCTAGAGCCCCGGGCGGCGCGCCGTCCTGCCCAAAGACAAGCTTCTCCGCCGTGGATACTTGGTGCCAACTTTCCAAACCAAGCACTACGAGCGTTTATGCATGAACGCACCATAGGCCCCTGCGGCGTTCTCATGGCACTGGACGTGACTGTGACGCTCACTTCGACTTCGAAGAGCCATGCAGTGACGAGGCGAGACGAGGACGACGGATTGTCTCAGGGTTCGGGGGAACCGTATGTATGTGGTGAAATAAGTAAATGTACCCAGACGAGGCAGCGCGGGCGCATCAGTAAGTCTGAACTTGGATTAGTATTGTGCATTGTACAAATGGTGATAGCGGGTACACAGCATGATGGACAATCCATGATAACAAGGGCAGAGTGATAGGACAAGGATGGTACAATCTGCATGAAGAGACGTATCAGCGCGACGCTCCAAACTTCACGCTGACAGAAACGCACTATGGCGAGGGCGAGTTGTGCGCGCTAACCGGTAAGGGATCTAAGGCCTTCCCAAGCCACCGACACCGTTTGCTGGATAGCCCGCTCAACGAACGTTTCGGCCTTCACAGACGTGCGTCGATTTGACTGTGCCACAACTCTGGCGCGAATCTGCTGCCAGTGTTGATGGACCTGGTGAATGGTAGGACGAAGCTTGGGGTCACGCTGTCGCATGGACTCCGTCAAGGGTGCAAGGAAACCGAGATGAAAGTATTTCTGTATAAGGTACTTGTCAATGCTGAAGATATCTGCAGTTCAACACGCTTACCTCTTGAAGGTCGTTGAGGTACAAGCTTCCGAGGGCGTGGATGTCGACAGGGAACGCCTCGTAGGGGACGTCGGTAGAGAGCTCCGGAACTGTGTCGTCTCGGCCAGTGTCGCCTACCACGAGTTGGGAGTCGCCTTCGTTGAACCTGACGGAGTGGCCAAAATCGATGTAAAAGTAGTTGACCGGGAAGTCTGTTCGCGAGCGAGGTTTAATCCTGTACACGCCATCGGGGGTTTGCCATTCCCTGACCGGATGCCACCCGCCGGGGAGAAGCTCGCGAGCATCCATCAGAATGTTTGCTTCGTCAATATCTCTAACAACCAGTGAGTTGTGCAACAGACGGGTTAACATAGTGCTCACCGATGCGCAATCCGATGGTTGTGCAGGAACATCAAGCCCTGTGAAACACAGCGTATCGACGCGTGAGTTGATGTTTGAGGAAACAGGCAAACTGGAAAGACGGACTTCTATGCTCTGGTCAATGAATGAGATAACCTCGCCAACAGCGCAAAAGTCGGGGTCGTTGTATCTTCGCATTAGAGGAAGGAACATCAGCGTGAGATGGGGGTCGAATGGGTCAGGTAACGTCTCGAGGATTGTCACGCAGTGACAGGTGGGGTCGCGCTGTGATTCGATGTACTTGAGTATTCGGATCTCTTGTGAGTTAGCCTTGACTTTCTTGATCGCCACGAGCTCTCCGGTGTCTTTCCTCCGGGCGTCCATGGTTCGTTTCTGCAAAGCATTGAGATCAAACAATGCATATTGGGGGTGACGTAATACCCACGGGTGATATGGCAGGCGCATCCTCGCAAAAGGCGGGGTCGCGCTTATTCCCAACCCAGGACGGGATCCAATCCGGTTGGTAGCGTGCTCGGAGCAAATATCCGTGGTCGAGTAGAAATTGCCGGCGATCGCACCAAGGGGTCTCGTTGGAGCGGAGAGCCCATCGACCCTCGAGGGTGTCCGTGTCGCGCCTTACGATATTTTCCTCATTAGAGTACAGTGCGTAAGACGGAAGGTGGTCTTCTAGCGGTGTGTGGGCCATGGGTGGCCGGGGGTTGATCTGGGAAGGCGATGTCGTGGCTGGGGGCAGAGGCGGCCCACGCCCAGCGGCGGGCACGCGGCAGATCATCGACGCGATCTCGCTCTCTCACGGGATGCACCGAGCGCCCACTGCGACTGACTCGACTCGGACGGGGGTCTCCTTCGTGCTCGAACCGCCAGCCAAACGCCCCCGAAGCATGATGCGCCCAGAAGCCCGGTTCCCCGTGCCTCGCTGCCCAAGATCCACGCTCGATATGCCATGACGCCTCTCTGCACATAAAGGGCACTTGGAAGCAGCAACTCCCTGAGTATCGCCGCCACCCCGCCACCCGACCCTCTCCGCCACCTTGTCCGCCCCACCGCCTCTCCCTCCTGCGGCTCCACCATGCTGTCGCCTGATCTCATTCTGTCTATCGTTGGCCTTATTCTCGGCTTCATGACTTCGTTCATCATACGAAGCATTTTCTCGTGGTTGCCTCATGGACAGCTTCGAGACATAGAGCTTAAACTCGCGGAAACCGAAAAACGGCTGGGGATGGTGTTTCTGGACGGTTTGGTATCACCTCAAGATCTTCCGGCGATCAAGCTATTGCACGTGGAATATTGGTGGTTCGTGTCCTTTGCCGCTCCTTATGTTATGGCGCTCATCCACTCCTTAGGTGTGTCAAGGAAGTGGCCGACACACACGTTGCGCTGAACAAAAAGCACGCGTGGCGTAATCTCTGGCGCGAGGCATTTTCCAAGATCTCCTGCCTGTATACCTCACAGGCCTTTGTGGACAAGGAGATCATGGTTCGCGTCGTTTCTCTACGTTGCGGGTATCATCATTCTCACCGATTTGCTCCAGAGGTACAGCGACAGATGTCGCCAAGCTCTTGGCTCCCAGGCCCGCGAGGCCCATTTCGAACGGCTTGTTCGCCAGGCCGGTGCGTCCACTTTCCCATTTGTCGTCACTCTCTGTCCTCATGACGCACTCTCCAGGTTGCGATCACCTTCTGGGTAACGAAGAAGCCGCCAGTGACTCAGCTATACCATCGGAGGAGGCCGCACGGGATAACAGTACCGAAGCCACTACTTCCCCTAGTAGTGCAATCACCGACTCAACGTCGCCCCTATCTCCATCGGACCTGCCTTCAGATATCTCTTGCTCTCCCGCCTTTTCACCATCGGACCCACCAACACGTCCTCCTCGATCTCCGCTTCGCACCACCCCACAGGACGAGGTGCCGCAACCGTCTCTCCCGGAATCTGCATCTCAGTGCGCCACGCTCTGTTCCACGACTACTGCCGAGTCGACGACGGTGTCCCCGCAGGAACAGTGTGCGGACGAGAGAGGTTAGTAGTCCTGCGTAGCGTTGGAACCGTTCACTCACACCATCGTTCGCAGACCGATCGAGCTCTCCGACCACCACCGACAGAAGCGAAACATTGTCAACAGAACACACCGATTTTGGTCTGTTCGAAGACGGGACGCTCTGCTCATCGCCGCCAGCGTCCATCCTTCACCATCAACCGGAGACGCGGCGCCCTCGCTACGTACGCGTACTCCGATCGCTCTTCCGGCTCCCGCCGCCGCCGAAGAACAAGGCTCAGTGCTGCGAGCCTTGATCGGGGACAAACGCCCGGATGACAATGCCTGCTCTTGGATACCATCGTCGACGGTCCTACCATCCTCCCTTCCGCCATCACCATCCAAGGCGACGCCCAGCATGGTTCGCCTCCTCAAGACCTCATTCCTCGCCCTTCGCTGCCCAATGAACGTCGGAGCTGACGGTCACGTCTGGTCGCACGCCATACTAGAGTGGGGAGCGCTCACTAGTGTTGAGGATCCACCCTTAGCCAATCGGCTCCTCGCCGCGTGGATACCGTGTTCGTAGATCGCCGCCTCCAGCCCCAGTCCTCCCGCTTCCTCCCGTTTCTTCTCGCGTCTCTCGTCCGCCCTGCCTCCTGCTTGTACTATGTTGCGATGTGTCGTTGATCGGTTGTACGTAAAGTAGGCGTTGTTGTCAGCGTTGTCCTCCTTATTGTATTCTGTATCTGTGTCCGTGCTTGTAGTTCGTGATGAAATGTACAACAAGGCTGTCTCCACCGTGCGCAAAGACCGCTCCTACGTCCACAATTGCGGAGACGCTCTGGGGCCGCGGCGCCAGTCGCGCGGTCCATGGTGAATGATGGTGGTGCGGATGCGAGGGGCAGTCACGCCTGTGAGCCTAATTGCTCTGGTGCCGCCGGCGCGTTAACGCGCATGCTCCTGCCACGGCGCTGATGCGGCTTGGTTGACTGCAACAGTGCGAAGTCAACCCTCGGCAAAGAGGTCATCTCCGCAATTGCGATACAGTTGGGCTGTGCGCGGGGTGCGAGTTGTGCTGCAGCAGAAGCGGATGCGGAGCCATGTCATAAACGCCTGCGGCAGGAGCTGGATTCATGATCTCCCCAAATATAGCTGGTAGACATATCGATGTGCGTGACGTGACCGTGCATGCTACAATGGTAAGTTCGATTCAAATACATGCTGTGTAGAAGTACATGGGATGGGATGGATGGCTGCGTTGTCAACAACGTTGGATAGGGAGCAATGCAGGAAAGCAAAACATTGAGAGCGTTATAGCAGATAGTACACGACCATTCTATGAATGGTGTACTTAGCATGCGACGGGTGCGGGAACATCAACAACCGTGTTTACTCACGATTAAGCGATGTAATTGAGTACGGTTCCTATTCCGCTCATGGCAACGTCGTGGATGCCGTCTATAAGTCGTGACATTGAGGTCTCGGATTTCAAGCTCAAACGCCATGATGATCTGTTCTGGTTGTCGGTGCGGATCTTTTCCCACATTTTGACAACTTCGTCTACGGTAGGTCGCGCCTGCGGATCGTGTTGTTTCATCCTGTTTATCATGCCATCGAGAAACTCCAGGTGTTTGTACAACTGGGTAAAGTATGAGAAGGCGACCTAGCGCGAAGCGAGATCCGAAAACGCACCGCAACGAACTCCTTTAAGTACAGGTTCCCGAGTGCGAAGATGTCGACCTTGAACGCGTTGTACGGCACAGTTTCGGATAGTTCGGGGACCTCCGCGTCGCGACCTATGTCGCCAAGAACCATCGGAGACTCGCCCTCGGCGAACATGCTGGCACAGTCGAAGTCAATGTAAAGGTACTCCACAGCGACACCAGGCTTTGAACGCGAGACAAATTTCGCATCGCGGACGCCGTCGGGCGTCGATGCAATTCGAGCAGGATGGTGGCCTTCAGGGAAGAGAGCGTGGCCATCCATCATGACGTTCAAAGGAGCTATGTCTCTGTGTGGTTCCTGTTGGCTTCAGCACAAACACTTCGACGACTCTGCGCTCACCGATGTGCGATGCGATGTCGATGCAGAAAAGACAGGCCCTGTCCAGAATGAACCGTGTTAGACTGAGCATAGCTTGGCCATAAGGGATCGAGTGCGATACCTCAAGGGTGTGGTCAATGAAAACGAACAACTCCTCGATGGTAGCCATCGGAGGATCATTGAAAGGTCGCAAATAAGGCATGACCATCAAAGTGATGCCGGGCTCGACAGGATCTGGGAAGACGTCCAAGACATGTATGCAATGGCTTCGTGGATTCTTCAGGGCTGCGATGTAGTGAACGACGTCCAGCTCCCGAGGTCTGCGTACTGTCTTGATGACCACCAGCTGCCCGTCTTCGCGTCGAGTAGCATCCAGAACATTTGGTACCTGAGAAGCGTACTGGGTCAAGAACATAACTGAACCCGAGGAACGAACTCACTATGAACCTGATTGAATCCTCGCAGAACAACGCTCGTCGGTTGGTGCCTATCCAGGACGGCTTCCAGCCCGGGACGTAGCGGCTTCTTAGCGAGTAGCCGCGTGCGTAGAGGGCGGGCTGTCGAGCGACCCATTTCTTCTCGCCGTCGCTGAGATTATAGACCCCGGACTGGTTCAGGCGAGCCTGGCTGTCAATGTCGCTCTGGTCCTGCAGAAGCGCCCAGAAGGGCAGCTTCGGGGGCGGCGCGGGGGACATCGGGGCCAGCGATCGAACGTCGGCGCGTGCGAGTTGGCGACGCTTTCCAGATCCGGCGGCGGAAGTGAGGGCAGGCTCGGTCGGGACAGACGCCCGTAGGTCCAGCGCTTGTTGGCGTGCGGCCAGCGCGCGTCCACTGCGAGTCAAGGCTGCGTTCATCCGGATCCACGACCTCCCCACGCACGCGGCAGACGAGAAGACGGAGTCATCTGGAAATGACGTGCTTTCTTCTGATGTGCCCCGTGCATCGATACCTGTGCTTCTCCACATCTTCAGATCCCTAGGCCCGAGCGGGTCTGTTTTTATGGAGGCATCAGCCTAGCCCTCGCCCGCCACTCGACTCACCCGCCCCCGCCGGTACCTCGAGTTCTTCCTCTCAAGAGGCTTCCCTCCGCCTTTCGCTCCCAGAACAGACGCATACATGGCCGACGCGTGGACCGTCATTGGCATCCTCGCCAGCATCCTTGGCATTATAGGCGCCGTCATCGCTACCTACACCACTATGGTCCCGCCCACCGTGCTTGTGGAAAAGTCGGAGAAGCTACGCAAGGAAACCAGGGAGTACCTGGAGAAGGTCTACGCTGATGGACTCATCGACGACACATTCTTCTCTGAATATGATCAGATTGAGATGCAACCGTGAGTGGCCCCCTCACACTGTGATACTTCGCTGGGACTCATCAGCGTGCGCAGTGTTGAGCTGGATGTGATGGAGCTCCACGGAGTGCTTTTTGAGCCGCGCCCGTGGTATCGACGACCCCACTTTTGGTACACGACATGGGTGAACGTCCGAGTGTGTTGCCGTTGCCTGACGCGTATCCAGGCCAACATAGCAGTACGTCTTTGTCACTCGAATCCATGTTCGTGCCTCACCGTGGCCATGTATTCAGTCTCGCGCATCCATGACACGCAGACAACAACTCGACCAATCCCGTACATTGGAGCGAGGTGAGCATACATGTCGCCCCTTCAAGCTCGAGGGCTGACGGTGGGATGTAGAGGTCACGTTGACACCGTCAGAGTGTACTCTTGCCTCCGACGAAGCCGAAAAGACCGTATCCCAAGACGTTGTGCTCCACAAGCTCGAGCGTGGCGCATTCGACCCTTCCCCGCCACCATCCGTCGCCGAAGAGCCGCCGGTGTCCTCGCGTACTCGCTGGTCCTTCGACGTCGTCAAACACAGTTGGTCTTCGATGCGCGCCCGCATCGGCCCCTCCCGCAAAAGCCAACACGAGCTTCCACTCTTCGTGGGCGAGAAGAGACGCAGAGCTGGCACTGCGGGCGGGGGCCCCATTACCCACGTGATGACAGCCTTGTCGCAATGTTGATAGAGGTTTCCTTTGTCCTCAATGGACACATGACTGTCGCACGACGCCGAACTTAGACTTTTGTTTGCCTTCCGCATCGCTGCCCCACCGCCGGATAGTCTGCCTTGCACATGACTGTCCCTTGACTGTCCCCCCGACTGTCGCCTCACGTGATAGGTAGACTATCGCATCGCTGTCCCATTGCGCACCAGGCAGACTGTCGCTTCATTATACCTTGACTATCGCCCCGCGCGCAAGGTTGGCTGCCGCATCGCTATACCCCAGCTATCGCGCCGTGTACCAGGTAGACTTCCGCTTCACTTTACCTCGACTATCGCCTCGCGCGCGAGGTAGACTGCCGCTTCGCTTTACCTCGACTACCGCCCCGCGCGAGGTAAATATCCGCTTCGCTATGCCTCGATTATCCCCACATGCGTAACTATCCTCAAGGGGGCTACACACAAGCTGCACGGAAAGACTGCTTGATATACATATAATCAATGGCGATGGCCGCTCCGTTGTCCTCGTTTACGATACGCCTATCCCACCTGAACAGTCATGCCCTCCTCGTCCCGTGCGTCGCAAGGGCGAATAGCCTGCTTCGCTCCGTCGAGCACGGCCGTGCGTTGACCGTGCGTGCAACCGCCGAGTGTGTTCACCCGGAGATTGGCACATACCACAGCTCGTCCTTGAGCGTGTCATCGAGACAGCGCTGCAATGTATGATGGTTCTGCCAGACCGCGTATTGGTCGTCCCGTGTACACGCGCGGCCGACAGCGCGCCGAGCTCTGTATGGGTGTATGCAGGTATGCACGCGAGCGCACCGACCTTGCCAGCGGCGGCGAATCAAGTCTACAACCTGACGTTAGCGTGGTCGCATAAATCTCAAGTAGGAGTGACATACCCTGTCAAGAGATCGAACGACAATGCACGGTTGCATGATATCTTCAGGGATGAACTGGAAGGTAGCGGCGTGGCAGGTTATATGATGAAGGGGTACAATGACTTGGCGGGTAGAGGAGGAGTAGTACAGACGAGTGTTGATATCGGCAAACCTGCGCCAAGGATCCAACTTCGCATCGGGATCGGCGAGTTCATCAAAAAGGCTCACAGCAACGAACGCCGCAACATGAGTCGAACCTTCTTGGACGCAACGGTGCAGGAAGATGTCGAATATCTGTCCTGCGACTGGCTGAGTTGCACCGTTGTTGACCATCACGTACGAGTCCCGTCGGCCGGAGCGTTGAGTGGCGAAGGTGACGGCCAGATGAGAGACCCTTGGGAGGCGTTGAATGTACGGAGAAAGACGAGGTAGCGTGTTCTCAAATGGAGCGTAGTGGGATGCAACCGTAGACGGGAACCACCGTAACAGTTGTTCGTATGAGACCTCATCGAGTAGAACCACCTTCTCTTCGTCGTACAGTGCGTTGAAGGCATGTCCGTCGTCGGCCATAGAGAGGGTGTCTGTTACTCGAGTTCCTCGTACTACGTCCTGGAAGGCACGTCGATATGAGTCTACCATGTGATGATAGACTGGCGAATCAGGCCACTGTGTTGTCTCCATGAGTCTTCGCGCGTCGGCTCCTGCATAGAAGCCGTGCATAAAAGTCAATGGAATTGTCGCTATTTAAGGACATCAGCATCAGCAAGATATCGTATCGAAGTGAATGCTCTTACCAGTGAGATTGTTGATGTTGAAATTCTGTAACAGGCCGTTATATCGCTCGAACGGAAATCCCCACCAGCCTTGAACGGGGCCGAAGGAGCGGAGACAGTTCGCAAGGTGGAGGGAAAGGTGATGATTTGGAACGAGCTGGTGCGAGAAGATGGTCTGGATGCCGGTGAGGTAAGCAAGCATATGATCGTCGAATCTCTGAATCCTCTCTGCATCCATGGATCGTCGAGTGGCGAGTTCCACCGCGGAAACGAGGTGCATGAAGTTTTGCAGGACTGCGTGATCTTTGCTGAACTCAGTGGCTTGACCCCATAGACGTACAAGAGTGATCATGAGACTGACGGTGCAGACCGTTCGCCACTGGTCGGCCTTCAGTTTGCCGTGGGAGGGATCACCGAAATTATGAGGAGGGCGGTTCAACCAAGAAGGGAACGTTGTATGCGCGAGATCGCGACGGATGGTGTTGAGCACGTCCTTGGTAAGAATTCGAAACTTTGAGATGTCGTAAGGACCGTTGGCGAGGTGGAAGTCGTCGGTATCTTCATCGAGCACAGGCGGGATGATGAGTTCGTCGATGGTATGGGTTTTCGCCTAGAACCGTAAGGCATTAGACGCATCGCCGAAAGGAAAGACGAACCGAACTTACCCATCGAAGAAGCGCCTCGATATAGTGGCTCTTGGTGACACGCGATCCGGGTGAGAGATTGTTCATCTGAGCGACCGTTGCGAGATACCCGACACGGATCTTGCCCAGCGCTGTCGCGGAGTCGCGTTGAACACCTTCCCGGAGCTGCTGGAGGGATTGCTTTTGTTGTTCCGGCGTGTGCGCGGAGACCCTCTTCGTGGAATCAGTTGAAGCCTTCCCCTTGACGTCGATTCCCCATACCTCCATGCAGTGATGACGTAGGTTACCCAGGAGCAGATTGTGCATTGCGTCGACCACTGCAAAGCGGGCTGGATCCCAATACGGTAATCTCAGCAGCTCCGACCATCGAATGCCGTGTTTGTCGAAGAGGGACTTCCGATCCGCCTCCGTGGGGGCATCGCGCCAGCGGGACGCGAGGTTGCGGTGTTCATCGGCTGTCCGCGTGGGCCATGGTCGTGCGAGATCATTGATGTTTGGCTTCTCGAGACGACAAAACGAACAGAACAGCTTGGCTGAGTGACTTGCAAATCCACCAACTTTGCGCAGGGCTGGAAGGTCACAGACGAGTGGGATGATGGCGGCGCGCACAAGGCGACCAGTGAAATGGAGGGAAGTACAATTGAGATAAACTCCACGGGTCCAGAGGGTGAGGAAGTCGTCAATGAGCGGACGGAGAACATGGTTGAGCTGCTGAAGGGATGGCTCCTTGGGTCCTGGAATGATAGCGGCCAGGTAGACGTTCTCTGGGCGAAATCGAAGGCGGGGTGGAAGGTTGAGACAGGCGAGATAGACCGCACCGATCGAATGGGACTTCCCAGCCTGCTTGTTCCCGAACGGATTGAACCAGTCGACGAACAGGCTGAAAACGAGATGACTCGACCCATGTGGCTCTATCGAGAACGGTTGACCATCCGGGCCTAGGAATTGCTGGACGACAGGAGCCTGGAAGACATCGGACCACTTGGAACCAGGTGGAATGGGTTGTTTCCAAGAATCGATGAGGACACGCTCGATCTCTGGACGGGAGAAAAGCGACGCAAGCCAGGACGTCGCACTTCGGAAGGGGAAAGTCTTGATGGCTGTGTAGACAAAGGGAGGCAGCTGGTTATCGTTCCGCGCGACTAGAGGGGTGCCGCATGGCTTCTTGTTGGTCTCGCGAAAGTCGCATATGTGAGGGTAGGGGTCTTTGGGTTTGGATGGATCCGGTGGATAGATAGCGAAACACGCGGGACAGCATGCGTACCGGACGTAGTCTGGACCGATGTTCAATAGTTTGAATGCGGCTCGTACATCTGTGGGCACCATCTTCAGGAGTTCTTCCTGCTCGGGGGTGAGCGTGTTCGCAGAGCCGGGGAACATAAGGGCACCGGCTAGAACGACTCGAACGACCGCGAGAATGAAGGCCATTTGGGTCCGGGAGACGGAGGTGATGGCGTGCAAGATGGTGACCATAACGAGAGCGGCAGCTATGAACGGTTGCAGATTGGGACACCGTGACCCGCCTTTATAGCAGGTATGAGGGTGTGCAAGAGTAGGGAGAGGTAATGCAATACTCACCGGTGTTGAATACAAGCGGACCACATGTTCCATCCGCAGATAGGTCGTAAAGTCCACTCCTCACCTTCTCGAGCTCCCAAGACTCCTTCACGCTCTTCTCTAACGCTTCGAGTCGATCATGCACCCGGCATGTCAGTGAGGCGAGCATGCCATCCACGTTGGTGTCATGTAATTGAGGAAGCTTGGCGAGCATGGCGCGGGTTGAAGTGAGCCACTCACGGGATCTTACGATCTCCTGATTTGCGCGGGTTGTGGTCTCAATAGCAGGGGGTGGATCGTCGAGAGAATTTGGAGAGATGGGGAATGTGATATGAGTTGCATGAAGAGGAATGGAGGGTTGGTGCGCGAGTCGCGATTCGATGAGGGAGAGGACAGTGAGACGCGTCTGAATACTGTGATGAACATTCTGTTGCTGCTTTAGACTCCGTTAGATGGGAGACAGATTGTAGCAAACATCACGTACGGTTTCGGCTGCAGATCTGCTCTCCTGAACGGGGGGGCTGGTCAGTGGATTGGACGGTGACAACGGTGGCTCGGGCGTTGGCGCCGGTTCCTGTAATATGTCTTCGGGCTCAGCCATCAGCAAGTCTTGCCCGACAGTCGCCAAGAAAACCAAATCCGTTGCAGCCTGGACGGCTTCGGCAGTTTCAGTCGCAACTTCTGCTTGAATACCGCGCTGTCTTGCGAACATTCTGTCCGAATTTTCGTGGCGCCGGATCGCGATAGCATCCTGCATAACGCCCTGGCAGGTGACGCCATATTCATCGACGTAAGTGTGTAGGGAGCACTTTGAGCAGAGACACGGACGTCTGGATTTTTGCTTCGGCATAGAGGGGTCGTTCGGTGGCACGGAGGACAGAAGACGAGGGCTAAGGCGCCCGCGGACGGTCGAGGGGCACCATTTCAATAATCAAGTCTTTGTTCGCATGATAATACATTGACATATATCTTTTAGTGTAGCATGCGGGCCCGCTCCCATAGAGGCCGGCTGTAAGTTACAGCATTGCGAACATCATGGCGATATCGTTCGCACATATACAGTAACCCAGCGGTGATACAGACGACAGTGAGAGCAACGAGTACTGCCCCTCGCGGTCGGCCACGGTTCTGCTCCGACTTCGACCGAGATGCGCCCTGCAGAGACTAGGAATCAGTACGCCGTTGGGAGATGAATGGACGGATAAGTACCATGGCCAATGCACCTTCTTGGCGGATCTGGAATAGCACACCCTTCGCCGCCAGCTTCGAGAAATGCGTGATCGTGATTGCTGTAGAGGAGGACATGAGCACAACGCGTGCGACGCACTTCGTTGTGGGAGATGCGCCCTGCAAAGTCAGCACATCTGCGGGTATCATCAAACACAGCCAAAGACTCACCTCCGCCATCCAATTCTGCTTGATAGGTACGAGTGCACTGACCATACTACCCTTCTTCTCCGTCTCGTTCAGGACGACAAGGGACTGAAGGGTCGTGTGACGGTCAGCTGGGGATGTGTGCTCAAGCTCCTTGTCAAACAGGTGAGTTGATGCGGTGCTGGACGACAAGTCTTCTGAGCTTGATACAGGATGGCGTGAAGTCGGAGAGATAACGGCTAGTCATCGCCCGCAAACCGCCCGGGCCACATCGCATCAGTCACCCAGCAAATTTATGTCAAATGACTCACCGCTTTCCCTGGGCCACGGCAGAAATTCTGCGGCAGAAGAGACTACCATCTCTTGAGCCAAGGTTCTCGATGATCCGTCATGTACGACAAGGGGCAGATCTTCTGCGTATGAGCCCCTAAGTTCGTCGACGACGGCTTGGTTATATTCAACAGCAATCTCGAGCCGTGCGATAGCCTGTTCCATGCGTTGTACTGCAGCCGATACACTTGAGGCATTAGCATAGGATGAATCGATAGTAAGCTCGAGCTGATCGGTTCTGAGTCGGTCACTGCGCCGCTGAGATTTGAGTATATTCAGCTCGAGCGTCAGCTGTGCGATGCTGTTAGCATGGGTGTCGACTGTTTGCGTTAAACGATCTGAATGGTCGCGAAGCTGCCGTTTTTCTTGCATTACGCGCTCTGAGACGGTGCAGAACACACTGTGAACACACAGTACACACGATACACGTCGTGACATACCTTTGGTATCCAGCAGCACCTGTCGCGAAACCTGAGATACGTTGTCAATCTTGTTGTGAGCCTCCTTAACCTTGTCTTCTAGCATGGTCGTTCGAGCTATTGTTCCAGCCTTGTGCGACGTTATAACAAGAGTCGAGAGACATTGAGCTAGCTGATACGCACCTGTTCGCGTTTCAGCATCGAGATCTTGCGGACCAACTCTAGACGACTCTCCAATATTACGTCGACACGGGCTTCAACTTGAGACAGTCTTGTGGAACACTCGATATTGTCACCACCGAAGGGTAGGCTGATGTACTCCAGGCCTCAAGAGACGAAAGCAGGCGAATGTGGTCCAAACTCACCTATCGAGAGTCGCCGTGTCCATCGCGAGAGTATTGCAATGTTGATACCACCCTCGAGCAGACGGCAATGACGCAGATGGGATGCGAGGGAGGTCTCAGAGCATAGGGTGGAGGAAGTGGAAGTGGTCAAAGTCATGGTGGTGGTCAAGCATACCAGCGGAAGCATGCGCGAAAGCGTTTAGTGAATGCGCTTCATGTGACACGCTGTCACAACCCGACAGACGTGCATTGTTGGAGCATTGTACTGGCTGCCTTTGCATGATTGCCAGAATAATACACGGCAATGCATTCATAACAGAACGAGACAGCATTCAAGGACTATAATTACATAACTACATCACTGTCGAACTCCTGCGTAAGGTCAAAATCGTAGTGGGAATTGATGATGTTCAGCTCGCGAAGTTTGTATGGCTTGAGTGAGGCCAACCACTCGCTGTCATAGCAATTGCGCCACAAGCCTTCAGGCGCACATCCATCCACCACCTTCGGCTTCTCAGGCTCCTTCCTCTGACGAAACGTGTTTCCACCACCTCCGTGGGCCATAACGTGCGCGTGGTAGATTTCGTCCAGGCCGCGCAGGAACAGCTTCAGCGCTTGGCTCTGCCAACGGCAGTCGATGATGTAGAAGATCCTGGCTTGTCCAGGAAGGGTGGTTGGATCCATCTCGTCGCCGCTCATGTGGCGAGGCTCCAGCTTGTCGATGAGAACATAGTGACGCTCCAACCCGAGATGCGAAACGGCAAAGATGCGAATTTGAAGGAGCTAGACAAATATCATGAGCAGCTGCTAAAAACGGTGTCATCTAATGGTACATACAGATTGGTTGCGTGCATTCGCAGCCTTCCTCAACTTCGCCTTGAGCGCCTTCGCAGCTTGTGCTTCGTCGACTCCCGAGTCATCGTTCGCGTCGCGATAATGTTCACGATACTTGCGTCGGCAATATACCATGTGACCGTCTATAAGTTGTCCGATCTGGAAGACGACTGAGAACGCGCCTCAAAGAGACAAAACGAAGAAGCTTACCTGATCTAGGGTGACGCGTGCTGCGAGACCTTCAGGTTGAAGCTTGTAAGCACCACCTTGCAGAGCCTGAAAGAGATTAGAGCAGAAGACCGCCCGAGCGTCTTGATTGAAGAGGAACGTGGTCCAACTTTGAATGAAGTCGACGCGGAAGCCGACAACGTCGACCAGCATATCTCTACTGCGGACCTTGAGGAGTTTGTCAAGCTCTGCCGAGGTCAGGGGCGGGCAACGCTCGACTAAGTCGGGCCATGACTTGAATCTGAGCATAGTTCGTAGATGCTTGCGCGTGAGTTTCTGTAAAGCGTGAGTCAAGCGTGAGTGGGAGGCGATAAACGGTACAAGTTCAGCGTACTTGCAGCTTGTCCAGACTAATCTCGTCATACACATCAGATAAAGGTGGCAGGTCTTCAACAGTGTGTGTCACCTTCGACTTGGCCTTCTTCTCCGCCGAGTGAGATGTCGGCACTCGTTGTGACGGTGCAGCAGGTGGGTGACGTTGGCTTCGTGAAGGGGTTGGAAGTGTGAATGGTGTCGATGCCATCGCTGACGATGACGCGGATGCCGATGAAGTCGACGTCGAAGTTGATGAGGATTGTGCTTGATTTGGAGTGACGAGCGATCGAACCTCAGCTACGAACTGGGCGCTGTAAATAATGTCAGTCACCTGTAAACAGTGTGAGTAAACGTACGTACACCAGCTGCGCTTGTTTAGCATCCTGCTCACGACTGCGAATTGACCGATCAGTGATGTTTCGAGGGAAGAGGCATAGAAACTTACCTGATGCGGTCATGCATAGCCCTCTGTTTGGCCCCCAAATCGTCTATCTTATTGTTGAGGTGATCGTGGCTCTCTTGAAGCTTCTCTAGCAGAAAGACTCCAAACGTTCCGGACATCTTTGTCGCTGGCGAAACTGAGTACGGAACTCCGGGAACCACGGGCGCATTGAACGAAGGGGGCAGAGGAGGCTGCGCAGGATGCGCGTGCTGGTGTGGTATGGGTGCGCCATGTTGGATGGGCTGGAAAGGACGCATTATCTGGTCTTGCCCCTCGAGTGGCGCGACCTCGTCTGGGTTGGCAAGCTCCGGGTGCTGATTTGCTAGCGGCATGAGCTCGTCTTGGATTTCAGGAGGCATAGACCAATGTGGATTGACACGCGGGTCTGGGTTGTATTGGCTCGCGAGTGGCATAGGTTCGTCGGGCCTAGATGGGAGATGCGATTGCATTGGAGGTACGGGCTGCCACCAGAGACGGGAGGCCTCGGTTTGCGATGGAAAGCTTGCCGGTTTTAGCGCCGACGAGAGCGCGTTTGCGAAAGGAGACAAATGAACATTTGCTGGGGGGAATCCATTTGCATGTTGAGGGTGCACCTGCAGGAAGGTGGTTTGCGAGTGCCTGCTCATCTGTGCCGAAGTGTTCGACTGTATGGACGCGTTTGTCGGTGAGGGCATGTTCGAGTGCGGCAGGAGGTTCGTCTGTTGCTCGGACGCGTTTGACAACGAGAACACGTTTGACGGCGGGGGCGCATACCACTGCGACGGGGGAAAGTTTGTGGGCAGGGGCGCGTTCGACAACGGGTGCGCGTTCGACAGTGGGGCCGCGTTCAACGGCGGGGGCGCGTTCAACGGCGGGGGCGCGTGCGAAGGTGGGGGTGCGTTCAATGGCGGGGGCGTGTTGGTCTGCTCGCCAGACGCGTTCGACGGTGGGGCCACGTTCGAAGGCGGGGGCGCGTTCGAAGGTGGGGGCGCGTTCGAAGGTGGGGGCGCGTTCGAAGGTGGGGGCGCGTTCGAAGGTGGGGGCGCGTTCGAAGGTGGGGGCGCGTTCGATGGCGGGGGCGCGTTGGTCTGCCCGCCGGACGCGTTCGACGGTGGGGCCACGTTCGAAGACGGGGGCGCGTTCGGTGGCGGGGGCGCGTTGGTCTGCTCGCCGGACGCGTTCGACGGTGGGGCCACGTTCGAAGGCGGGGGCGCGTTCGAAGGTGGGGACGCGTTCGACGGTGGGGCCACGTTCGAAGGCGGGGGCGCATTGGTCTGCCCACCGGTGGCGTTTGTCTGTGGGGCTCCACTCGCCTGCGGGGGTGCGTTCGACGGTGGGAGTGCGCTCGTCTGCGGAGTCCTGTTCGACGACTGGATTTGCGTAGGGTTAGGGTTTGAAATCGGCATACCGACGGCGTATGGCTGCTGCATCGGTGGCGGAAAATGGGGCGGAGGGGGTGCGTTCGGGTGGAAGAGAGGAGGTACAGGTAAGGGACGGTTGGTTGGGGGGGGAATGGTCGACAACGCAGGGTTCACCAATGCGGAAGGGTTCGCGGGCGAGGTGAACGCACTGAAACTCGACGAACGAGACATGTAGCTGGGAGTCGGAGGCTGAACAGGAAAGCTCATTGGGAGTGTAATTCGGGAGCTTATTTCCCTCCAGTATTGCACATTCTCGTCGTATTTCTGAAATGAAGTATCAGCAATGAGTGCTGCGTATATGGTGAACAACAACGCACATCGATGAAGATTGGTGGTTTCACAACAGACTGTTCGCAAATAAGCGCAAGAACAGTGCGAAGAGAACAGTCAAGCTCACCTGTGACGCCACCTCTTGGCCTTCAGATGGCTCCGGGACCTCCGCCACCGTAGGTAAGGTGGACTTAACCGGGGGAACCGCATTGCGAAGCATGTTGGGAGCAGAAGCTGTGCGTATAATCTTCGACTTTCTGGGTCCTTCCGTTCCATAACTAGTGTCCTTTAGCTTCAAAGGTGGAACATGGGTCTGGATATGCGGTCAGCCAGCACGTCAACAGCAGACATGAGGACATACCGAGCAGTCTCGGCGTGAAACTTTGCCGTTGACGAACTGATGCGGCAGATCTCGGGGAACATGCTTACGACTGCGAAGACCTCATCAGCGGAGGGGGGACGAGGTGTCAAATGAGTACGTACCGCGTAGGTCGCCTCTCCTCTTCAATCCCGTCCATAGCCTGCGGTGCGGATCCACTGGTCGTCTGGGAAGACTGCGGCTGAGAGTCCATTTGGTAGTCAAGAGGCGGTTCTGATAGGTCCATTTGATGATCGGCAGGTGGTTCCGACGGGCCCATTTGGTGGTCAGTGGGCGATTCCATAGTGCACGATGGATGAGCGGGTTGGAATATTAGAAACAAGATAAATACATGCGCACCGAGCCTGACAAAGTCCATGCTGATGCACAGCCTGTTCGGTGAGCGGGGCGGATAATTGTGGCAGCATCTAAGCAAAGAAGCGCAGCGTTGAAACCAAAAGACGGCAAGAGAGCAAGAGTGGCGTCGTCAAAGATGAAAAGCTGGCTGTTCAAGCGATATACGCGCCACGGAGAGCTGTCACACCAGCGTCTATTTCAACGGCATCAGATTCAAGAGACAGTACAACTAGTGCATGATTATTCTACTGAGCTGGCTGCCCGTGGATCCTAACGCGATATATGCATACATCCGACGCACCCCAATTGTCCATAATATCGAGGAGGAAGATACCAAAGTCCATTCCGGAGAGCGCAATATAATCGAAAACCGGGAATGTTTGAACTGGGGCACCGTCATGTATACCGTACTCAAACTCTGCAAGTGCGATGATAGAATGTCCAGATAGTATGCGAGGAGATGTAAGAGATGATAGCGTACGCAGTCGGTGTTCGTTCGAGTCTCCATCTACTACACCCCACAGTATCATATGTCGAGGAGCACGGCGAATATCAGCGGCAATTTCGTGGGGGATATGATCAATGGTAACGTTTGAGGGGTGAATCAGAACTGGCGTAGAGATACCTACTTGGCTGGGTACAGTAGTCCGCCAGCATTGCCCTATCCTGGTATCCTCCTCGAGAATGACGTCAGGGCCTACTTGAAGAGGGGCGGCTTCAGCATTGACCGAGGTGAACGTCGGGTATATCATCCCTCCATCCACCCCAAGTGCGAAGTCGCGCATGAGGACAGGGGGTCGAGAAGCATGCCGCAGAAGCCATTGTCCAAAATCTTCATCTTCCTCGCATCGACAGGCCGATTTGCCGGAAGAGAAGAGCGGGATGAACGAGAAGGGTGGAATGAGCCGGTAAGACGGGATTGACGAGATGGTGTGGTCGAAATCCCGCCATGGTATCTCTCGCCAAATTGCCCAGACAGACTGGGCTGCGACGGAAAAGCTTGGAGTGGCGAGGGCGACCCAGGCAAAGGCGGCAGTCGCGACGGAAATGAGCAATGGCAAGTAGCAGCAGACGACCCGGTGGCCTTTCTTTGAGTGAGTACGAGCGGAGGCGAGTGTGCGCGGCTTCAACGGCTTAAGGGATTGAGCTGTCGGATGGTGAGCCACTTGTGTTTGTCGTAGCCAGAAATCACCGACCTGTGTGAGGTTTTGGAAGTGGTTGGCGTGTTGGATGTAAGAACCGCGACGAGTCGAAGGGAGAGCTTCGTGCAGAACGATCGGCCATTCGAGACACGGAGGAATGATTAATGAGGGAGGAGGAGCAAAGATAGAGTGGAAGACACGGGGCGACATGATTTGCATGGCTCCTTGTCACACAGTGACATGTACGTCGATCACCGGGTGACCGCGCGCTGGCCATGCGTACACATTCAATGCCACTCCGGCCGTCTTCCTCATAGCGTCCACGAATACACTTCGTATCATTGTAATACAACGTAATCAGACCCAGTAATTGTCCCAGAAGTCCTGTGCGATCGCCTGGGGTCCTAGAACGGTACAAACTCGAGTCCAGTCCTCCAGCCTCCCTGTGACAGACTCCCACTTCGACAAAATATCTGGGTCCATGCCTGGCTGTGAGGAGTACGCCATGTGAATACTGTGCAAGGCGGGATGGGGAACTCCTGCATGCCCCCCGACCCACTGAGTAACGACGCCTCGTTCAGCCTCCTCATCCCCGGTGTCAGTCCCGTGCAGGGGAGACATGGCCAATAGGAAGAAATGCACCAGGACGTCGAGATCGCATAGTGCCTGATACCATCCGTTGTAATCGTTCCAAACGCGGCGCGACGAACCACCCCTGCGCCTGCTGGACAGCTGTACGAGATCATCCGACTGAGCGAACGTTCACTCTAGACAAAGGATTTGCACTTACCGAAGCCACCTTCGTTTCGAGCAGATACAGGTCCGCCAGGTTAGGAAATATATGTGCAATGTCGTGTATGACGAGATAGTCATCTGGAGCAACTTGAATAGAAAGCTGGTATAGACGTGGAAACAGCGCCTGTCCCGCAGCCGACGCCGTGAGATGATGAAGTTGGTCAGACATCGAACGGTGGCCGTGGCTGAAGCCGAGATAGAGCTTCTCCAGGTGACGAAGCGGGAGGTATAGACGATCGAGATATCCAATGGCGCAGACTAGATGTTCGACGGCGGCCAATGGGGCGAGGGAATAGGGAGGACTGGTCCCCTCGTGCGTCAAGGTGAGTGTACGGATTTTGCGATGTGACCGTAGGAACGTCGTCAGAAGGTGGGGCTGCACGTTGGTGAGGAAGTCGTCGAGATGGGGAAGGAAGATGAGGTCGAATAGGTCGGGGGGAGCGCCGTCCGGAAGCACAACTTGCAACTCTTCGATGGAAGGGACGAGGCGAAGAGCTTGCTGTACTTGAGGCCAAGGCACGAGCGCATAGTGGCCGAGCTCGATGACAACCTTCTGGTACTCGCGGACAATGAATCTGAATTGAGGAGCAGTCGGCGTAAAGTTGAATTGGGGAGCAGCCGACGCGAAGTTGACAAAGGCCTCTAATTCAGCGATCGTCCGGATAGAAAGGACAGTCTGATGGGACGTGAGAAGCGTAACGGAGGGGTGAAGTGGCACAAGCGTACCTGGCGTCGTATCGCTAACGTCTGCTCCATCTAACGCATCAATAAACCGGCCGTCAGTTACACTCCGAATCATGCATATGAAGGAAGTGACTCACCTGTACACTTGGAAGGTATTCTGGATGCTGGGTGCCAGGTACCTTCGACATATATATCCTTACACTGGAAACAAACACAAAGATTCGCATCAAAGTCAGTTGAAGACAGTTTTGAACGCTGTTCCGATCCGCATTCGATACGCACCCGCCAGGTACAGCCCATTGCCGTGCTGCTTACTGTGCCGCCTTTCAACCAGTAATCTTGTATCTGTAACGGTGACAAAAGTCAGAACAAACCGCGCATACAAAAGCGATCTCAACCAAAACAAAGCGGACCCGCACACACTCCTGGGGGAATCGGGCTGCCAAGGCCCAGGTCCCATGCATTCGCCTCGAACGTGGACTGGCGCATGTTCTCGGCTTGCAGCCTGAGGGAGCGCCAGAGGAAGAGGGAGGTGGTCGAGCCTCATGAAGTGATGCGCAAGCGAATCACGCCAATCGCGAACAAGGGCCTTGCCAATTGCATATACCGAACACAATCCATTACATATCGGAATGCGGACAGAGATTCTTCAAGAAACAGACAAAGACAACGACGAAGATGAGGGGTCCTTGCAGCGCGCCTGGGGAGCGGAGGAATAACCAGTAGCGCATTTCTTCACTGCAGGACGAGTGAGCATAACGATAACGCAGAAGAAACAGTCCACGCACTCTCCGCCCGACGTTGGGCTCCCCATTTCCCTCTGACCCAGGATGGATCACGACGAAGTTCCGTGATTGAGAGCACTAGTCCATCCGCGCGAACGAACCCCGGCGAGACGCTCTGCCAAGACCCCTTATCCCCTTCTTCCGGGACCCGCAGCCAAAGCTGGCAGTACTCCTTGGTACGCCAACACAGGACATCGCCGATCGCGATCACCGATTCGTCTCGAAACGTCGGCGGAGAGAGCACTGGCTGGTCAGCATCCACAACGGCCCATCCGCCGTGTTTCCCATCTTTTCGGTTGTACTGGAGCTGCTCGCGGGTATGATTACCAAATTTGCGCTTCGGACGAGCATGCTTACCGGTAAAACACAGGGATCCACCTTGGATGCAGGAAGGCGACGAGACCGGGAAGCGGAAGCGGAAGTGGAACTCGCCCCGACGCCACTGCTCTTGAGGCTCGGCGGCTGTTTGCGGGAGGATCGCGAGATGGGATTCTGGTCTACAGGCTGTCGAGGTGTATCTTTGCGCTTCCTGGATAAACGAACCATGACTTAGCAGTTGACTTAAAGCGCCATTGAGGGCGAAAACTCACCGAGATATAAGTGTCGATGAATTGTATATTTGGAGAACAGTGGGGGTAAACTTGGGGCGAGGAGCGGGGTATGAACGCGCCGGAACAACAACACTGGTGGTCTTCCCCGAATGGATGGGTGTGCTGATAGAGAAGATGGGAGGATCTTGGGCGCCGCGGACACTGCGACGAGGGGAAATGCAGGAGGCCAGCCACCGCATGACGACGCATGCCGACAAAACAGCTACAGATGAAACACCGAGACCGATGAGAGGAGTCATGAAGAGCGGGATGAAGGAAAGGACGGAACGAGGTAGCACTTCAACTCACCTTTATGCCAGATGCCCGAGTGGCAACATACAAGAGCTTTATGTTATGGCCGCATCCTACGATCCTCAATGCACGACGCCATGTAGGTGCCAGCCATGGGAAGTGAGACGAAGATGAAGAAAAGATACCCATGGCAAGAACTTCCGAGGTGAGTTTTCGTGGAAGCAAATAGGGACAAGACGCGCAAACATGGAGGAGGGACCCTGGGGGAGCAAGCACGAGATCGAGGGCGCCTACGGGCGCTGCAGGCCAAAGGGCGAAGGGAGACCAAAAGATCCCACGCGAAGAGATCGCGAGGCGCGAGAATCGACGGAGATCGTGTGCCGCTTCGCGTTTTGATAGGAACCCTTGTCGATATGGCGCATCGTGTTGAGACACCTTGCGGGACAAAAGACGGCGAGGCGCAACACGGAGGACGCGGCGGTGCTCGTAATCACACATGCGTCTGAGTGTGGTCGACGACGGGATTGTGAGGCGTGGCACTGGTGGATGCACATGATTTATCAAGCTGCTGCTGTCGTTGATCCTGGCGGAATGCATGCAAACTAGTACAATTGGTACAACTGCCCAGCCAACGTGAAGACAAACGCCAATGCAAGACCAACCACCACCTTCACAAAGAAAGAGAACCAGCTGACCCTGCCGCCAGACGTGGCCCCGAAACTAGTGGGGAAACTCGAACGCACTGTATCCCAATTAGTGGGAATTTCCGAAAAATGCTCGAAGATACGCACACACATCCTCAGTCTTCCACAATACTACTTCTGTCGACGACGGACCATCAGCAATGCCTGTCGCGATGTAGAACGTGTCTCGAGAGCGGTTGTAGAACGCCTGAGGATTGCTAAGCGTCGTGCTACAAAGGCAGGCAGAGTAGACACACGTACGTCGACTGCGATAACCATGTCGTGATCTGATAACGAGCGTGTCAGAGTCGAGCAATGTTGTAGTATCAAGCACATACCGCCGAGTGTGAGACGAGCAAGCTTCTCCGAGGTGTCAACGTCCCACAAGTGAACGTTTCCCATGGCGTTGCCACCAAGTAGTGCATTGTTGCCGTGGATGAAGCGAACATGCACGGCTCGAAGGGCATTCGGAGCCACTGGATGCGAAAACGAGCGCACGGGACCCTTAGAATCTAACGGATAGACATCGAACCCATTAATCATATTCGAAACAGCGAGCAGCCTTCGGTTGGAGGCTAGCGATGCATGCGCACTGGATAAATGTAAGCGCTAGTGATATGCTCTGGCGCAAACACGCACATTTGTCCGGCGACGTTGATGCTGCGAATGTAAGCCCAGGTGACGGCATCTATGAAGCTGCCCCTACGTCAGACAAGCGAAGATGATGTGTTCCCACAACGCACTGAATGCCGTGGTTCATAAATGTCACTAGGAGCTGTGACTGATCGGGTGCCAGCCAATGTAAACTTGTCACCACAAGGTCCTCCTGGCTCGAACGCGCCACAGAAGGTGCAGGGATCCTCGCTTCTTCTATCCAAGGGCTCTTATCTAGCAACAGAAATCAACATACGTCTGAGTCGAGCACTGATCCGATACCTTGTGCCATCCGCTTCCAGACATGAATATCACACCTCGCTCCAGATGCAAAGCGAGTCGAAGAAGCGACCGCTAGGCAGTCGACCGGAAAAGAGTGGGCCAAAACTCCAGATACTACAAGTTCTGTCTGTCCGTGGGGTGAGTAGAGGATACGCCTGAGACTCTGTTCGCCGGGAACTCACATTTGTTATGGAGCAATAGACGATGGTACCATCGCCGAGGCCACACACAAAGCTATCTTCGTCCGGAGGCATCCAGGCCACAGAGAGAATGGGTATGTTACCATTCTGAGAGATTCTGTGGACTAGCGAGTAGTCTTCCATGCACCATACGCATATTTCGCCGTTGAGATCGACTGATGCGAGAAATGTGCCGCGGGGACTAAAAGCGACTGCCGTGGTATTGGACTTGCGTTCAAGAGAGAGATTGGCGGCTTTGATGTACTGGAGACTCATCTGAGGTAACTGGCTAGGAAGCAGGGACGAATCGAGAGGCAGAGAAGGACCCTACGGGAGACGAGTGGCAGCGATCAAGCAGACGCGAGTTGGTGCACGTGACGCAATTTGAACGCCGGAATGCGTGCAGGCTTTGCGCGATCGAGTGTGTTGAACGTTGACCACCCACCCCTTCTTACCTCTACCTCTCTCTCGCTCACCGATCCCTTGTCAATAAATCTCGGACTCAGTCTTTTCATGCGTCTCGAAACGCTAGAACCTCGACATCGGACACCATGGCCTCAGTCTGCTCGCTCTGCTTCGGGTTCATCTCGGCCCCAGTGATGTTCGCGCTCTCTTCTCCCGCACTCGAAAATGTGGAGACGACCATCTATCGAGGGGCCGATCCTCAGGTGTGTGTGGATAACTTTCGCCGGTGATATGTGCAGTGGTATGTAAAGTTCGCTTCTTTGTCACAAAGGATCTCAAGCTGAACAACTTTCCAAAGGTCATGGTTCTCCGACCGTCCATATCGCTTCATCTTCCCCCTTCTGCCCGCTCAAACTCGTCCCATTCCATATTCACTGTCAAGAAACCACCTCCCAACCCAGCATGCCTGTCGAAAGCAAAACCGTAGTTTCAAGCTCCCCAACTCGTAGCCAGCGTCGTAGGATTTTGGCCCTGGTGAGTCTTTGTTCCATACGTGCGGTATGATGAGCTGATCCAGCCTCAGAGGGCTCACAGCGCCCGGCGGGTCGCCACACGTCGTTTCTACAACGTGGAGTCTCTGACCGAGTTCATTGATTTTGCTCGTCACGAAGCTGACCTCGGACTTTGTGTCGACGAAGTCACGATATCACTTCCTCCGCACTCTATCTATCCTGGCCAGCTCATACAGCAGTGCCTTTCCCTCACTCCGAACGTTGAAGTCCTCGCCATTCACCTACCACGCCCCACTCCGCCCACCATCTTATCCGGAATTTTGCTGCCCAAGCTCGCAGTCTTCACTACTTCGCTCCCTCACCGATGTATCGCATCTTTTCTCCTCTCCAATCTATCCATCACCGCGCTGTCTATTCAAGCCTGCGGACCCAGCCTCAACTGCCCCCTTCGAAGACTGGACTTACGGCACATCACGGATCTTCAAGGCCCCGCTCGCTGTGTAACGCGCGTTGCAAACGGTCAAGTTCGCCGGGCCACTGTCAACCTTACCCGTCTGGCGTCTTCCGTCTCCCTCGCCGTTCAAGCCTTGGCAACATCCCCCCTTCACTGCCTCATCATCGACTTCTTCTCCCACGACTACAACATCTTGACGAAGGTTGCGACCTCCTTACCCAACGTCAAGGCGCTGAGGTTGATTGAAAAACCGTGTGCCCAGGTGCGTAGTCTGGCTATCATCGGCGAGCACAGATTCATGATCATCTCGCTCCTCAGGGCAGGGATCATATCGGCCCATGGCATCATCCCTCCGAATGGCACCAAGCACTTCTTCGCCTCTCCAGCCTGGAAGAGATCGAGCTGCAAACCACGGACGATATCAAGCTTCCGTCCAATTACTCCCTCGCGAAGCTTGTGAGTGCGTGGGCGAATGGGCTGAGACCACATCAAACCCATCATCCGACTCTCTTTCACATCACGGTGCGGGCAGCAGGGAAGCAGACTCACTGGTTCAAGCGTGGTAATGGAGAGTGGGAGAATCTGTCGTGACGGTCGTTTCCAGTTTTGTAAGCCACTCCGTTCAAGTTTATTTTATCGTCTATATCTCCTCGGCCTCGGTCTCGTGTGGCATCAACCCACTATCCCACCTGAACAACCATGCATTCATTGTCCGGTGCGCTTCCAGAGTGAATGGGTTGCTTTACTCCCTCCGACGCGCCCACGCGCCGAGCATGTGGCCTTACCGTGCAGTCGCTAAGTGTGTTCACTCGGAGGTTGACAGGGCCCATAGCTCGTCCTCTCGTCCGCTGCAGATAGCGCCGCGATGTATGATCGCTCCACCAGACCGTGCCTTGGTCGTCCCGTGTATGCATGCCGTAGAGAGCGTGCCGACCACGCCGCCACTGGATCCTAATCTGTTCTTAGACTCTGAAGAAGTGCATCGCACACAGTGAAATTCGACCCCCTTGAGGATAGTTACGCATGTGGGGATAATCGAGGCATAGCGAAGCGGATATTTACCTCGCGCGGGGCGGTAGTCGAGGTAAAGCGAAGCGGCAGTCTACCTCGCGCGCGAGGCGATAGTCGAGGTAAAGTGAAGCGGAAGTCTACCTGGTACACGGCGCGATAGCTGGGGTATAGCGATGCGGCAGCCAACCTTGCGCGCGGGGCGATAGTCAAGGTATAATGAAGCGACAGTCTGCCTGGTGCGCAATGGGACAGCGATGCGATAGTCTACCTATCACGTGAGGCGACAGTCGGGGGGACAGTCAAGGGACAGTCATGTGCAAGGCAGACTATCCGGCGGTGGGGCAGCGATGCGGAAGGCAAACAAAAGTCTAAGTTCGGCGTCGTGCGACAGTCATGTGTCCATTGAGGACAAAGGAAACCTCTATCAACATTGCGACAAGGCTGTCATCACGTGGGTAATGGGGCCCCCGCCCGCAGTGTGGTGCCTTTCGACGCGCCGCCCGCGCCGCCTTGGCCGCTCCCTTCCAGGGCCGGCGCGTCCGGACACACAATGACGAGGTCGCGCCTCCACCAGCACCGCCGCTCTCTGGGGGACAGGTCACCAGCATTGTCGCACCTCCGTTCGACGTTCCTCCATCGTCATCGTCCCCCGCTGCTTCCCCGGGCATTTCTTCCCGACTAACGTCCGGTCGAAGGGCGGAACAGTAGTCAGCGGCGTGTCCCTGGTCGCCACTCTATCACTATCGTCGGTATCCAGTCCACACTCGGCTATCGCAGTCGAGTGTTGCGCCGCTCCGCGGACAGTGGACACCTCGTCGTGTGGGATTTTGTGTCGGCGTTCCCCGAGGCCACGCATTCCGGTTCCTCCGCGCCAACTCTGAGGGCGCGGTCGACGCATGTCAGTAGATCTCGTTTGTCTCGGCCAGGTCCCCTCCCCGTCGCTGCCTTGCCTCCTGCCGCTTTTGTGTTGTCCGGTGTCCTTGTTTCCTTGTCCGTTGCCGTCTCGATGTCATCGAGGGTTGTACTAGTATACTTATTCGTCGCTGTGTTCGCTTTGTATGTTCAGTGGAAGTTCCTGTAGTCTCCAGCGCAATGTATAACAGATCGTCGGTCTTACGCGTGAGAGGACGCCTCAGCATGGGAGCCCACTGGGCCGCACCGGCCCGCGCAGATTTCACGCTCGCGACGGCGCATGCGTACAGGGGACGAGCTGTCCTAGGAACGAGGCCTGCGTACGGCGGTTCGGAGTCACGCAAATGAAACGGCCCCGTTCATCTCCTTCCATGCAGCCTGAACCCGGCGAGCGCGTTGATCCCGGCTGGTGGTTTGTGGGCTCACAATGATCTGCCGCGTGGATCACGGCATGTCGACGCAGAAGGTCGGGGGCCGGGGCAGTGGAGCCAAGGCGGTCCACCACGCTGCAGCCTGCAGGCAGCGGTGGCTCGAGCCTGGACGGTGCGAAGTCCGTCCCGTGCGTTGCCAGAAGCGTACGGGGTCTGCAGCTGCGCGCGTGGAGGCGGTCGGAGTCATCGGATGGCCGACATCAGCCGGGTGGTCTCACGGACACTACACACATAGTACTTAATGTGGAAGGCCTCACCTCGCGATTACGCCGGCACTGATAAGTAAACGCTGAAGCCTGAGCGCATGATGGCGGGGTGGGGAATGATCTGGGTGATTCATTGTCAAGAATAACGTGCAGGTCTTAACGACGAAGGCAGAGTACAACAACGATAGTACAGATTTAGGAGGCTTATTGTGTCGGCGTTGTCAAGGACGCCTGGAATCAGAGCGCCTCATCCGACGAGGGACCCGACGATCGAGGCCGCTTGCTGGATCACTCTCCCGAGGAACGTCGCCGCCTTCGCCGATATTTGTATGTGCGACAGCTCCACTGCTTCGGAGCGGATCTGCTGCCATTGTTCGTGAACTTGGTGGATGGTTGGGCGACGTGCCGGGTCGGGGTGCCGCATAGACTCTGTCAAAGGCGCGAGGAAGTCCAGAGAATAGTATTTCTATGGTTGCAGAGACACCGTCAGCAGTGCATGCGTTCCGAGGATCCAACACCTACCTCCTGAAGATCTTGGAGATAAAGGCTGCCGAGCGCGTGAATATCGACGGGGAACGCCTCGTAGGGAATGTCGTGAGAGAGCTCCGGAACCGTATCGTCCCTGCCAATGTCGCCTATCACCAACGGGCGGCAGCCTTTTTTGAACCTGACCGAGTGGCCAAAGTCGATGTAGAAGTACTGAACAGGGAAGTCTGTTCGCGAGCGAGGTTTGATCTTGTATACGCCATCTGGGGTTTGCGACTGGTTTACCGGATGCCACCCAGTAGGAATGAGATTCCGAGCATCCATCATAACATTTGCTTCTGCAATGCCTCTGATGGTCGTTCAGTCGTGCGGAAATGGCTTAAAGGATCTTACTCACCGGTGTGCAATTCGGTGGTTATGGAGAAAAATCAATCCCTGACAATCGGAACACGGGCAAGTCTGTACCCCAGCTCATGACGGTAGATGATCAAGAGTACTGACCTTGATGCTCTGGTCAATGAACGAAATGACTTCACCAACAGCGCAGAAATCAGGATCGTTGTACCTCCGTAATAAGGGAAGGAACATCAGCGTGAGAAGAGGATCGAGTGGATCGGGCAGCGTCTCGATAATTGTCACGCAATGACAAGTGGTGTCCCGCCTCGATTCGATGTACTTGAGTATTTGTATCTCTTGGTTATCATTCTTGACTTTCTTGATCGCCACGAGCTCTCCGGTGTCCCTCTTGCGAGCGTCCATCGTGCGTGTCTGAAGAGCTTCATTGAGCAACATCGACACCACACCGCACAAGAAAACACGCACAGGGAATATCATGGCCGCATCTTCACAAAAGAATGGATTTCGATTCGTTCCCAACCACGAAGGTGTCCAGCCTGGCTGGTAGCGTGGTCTGAGCACGTATCCATGTTCGAGCAAATATTGCGCGCGATCTCGCCAAGTAATCTCGACGCTGTAAAGATCCCATATACCGTCACGAGTGAATTTGTCGCGCTTGGCTATACGATCATCGTCCAAGAGGGCATAATCCGGCAGTTGCTCCTCTGACGGTGGATGTGCCATGATGACCGGGCGGAGAAGCGATGTCGTGGGTAGGGGTGGGGGGGGGGCAGAGGTGACATTACGCACCGCGCGGCGGGCCCAAGTTGTACTTATCATCGAGTGGCACAGACTGCGGTGAATACCGAGCGCTCGTATGCGCGGCCGGGTACACGGTCTCCACTGGGTGTGGGTGCGTGTGGTGTGGTGTTCCGGAAGGCCTCGACGCGGCTTGTTCTCGCAAAGTGCCCGACATCAGGATTATTGTCTTCATATCTATCGAGATGTCAGGATAAGGCGAGACAGAACAACAACAACCTAACAGCTCACGGAGAAATTGGACGAGACATCCACATACAGATGGTTTTCAATAGAGGCGGGGCGATCCAGCGGCCGGCTTATGTGGGGTGGAATGGTACCACACTAGGATTAGTACCCTTCTGCCCGCGAAGCTGTATGAGTGCGAATGAAGACGCCTGAAAGAGATTTGAAGCACCCATCCCGAACGACGCTCATTAGCCTGCCTCTGGAGAACATAACCTTTGAGCTGCTTGCGGGCAAAGTTACGGTGAGGTTCAGTCAGAAGTACATCCGACCTCCGCATCCTGATTACAGCTGTTTCCGAAATGATTGCCCGACCAACTCCGATGATACGCGAGCGCGCATCACACGCGAGCTGCACGAACGCACACGAGAAAATCGAAAAAATCGAGAAAATCGTCCTCGTCGTCTGCAGCTTCCGTACAACGCTTTTGTGCCCTCCAATCCACTCCGTTTGTCTCTGCTTCACTCTCTATCATGACTGGGTGCTCTATTTCCCAAGATATCGATGCTGGTGCGATCTACTCGGTCGATTCAAAGCCGGTCGCGGGTCGACCTTGCTGAAGCTCTCGGAGTGTCCACACGCTCCATGCGACGATGAAAGGACCACTACAAGGTATTAGAGCAACTTCAAGACCGCCAGATTCGTCGCTCCCTGCCCCACGGTCCTTGAGGATCTACGATATCTCCTCCCCCACCCTTCATGTACCCCCACGAAGCCGCCGAATGGTCTCGCCGCTGCCCGCCGTATCCTCGTCCGACTCGGGGTTTCGCACAAGAAGCTGTGAAAGGAGCCAGCTGAACGCGACGGGATCGCTCGGTATCAGTGGCACGCTCAGATCACCTCCCAGTCTTCGGCCCCACAGCTCGTGTTCGCGGACGGCTCGAGCAAGGACAACCGAACCGTTCAAAGGCGGTATGAACGCGGTTTGAACGGGCAGCATGCTGTGGAGAGGATCTTGGCTGAGCGGCCTGCAGGTGACGCTTCTCCATCCTCCCCGCCCTCACATTGAATGGCATTTCGATCACCGCGCGGGTGCCAGATGGTGCAGGCCTCAGGCCTCAGGGTTTGGTGGATGGTGGCAGGTGCTGAGTTCTACGATTGGGCTGTCGCGGAGCCATGGTACGTCGTCTCAAGTCGTCTCGGTTCTCGTCCCGTCTCAGCAGC